GATAATGAGGTCTTCTGTTTTGTCAATTCATACGAATGAATGCCGATTGAGACCACAATAAAGAATATTCTCATAAAATTACAATTATATACACTGTATATAACTATTGGCCATACATTTCAATGTTCAGGAATCAAGAATACATTGAATTACATTACTGTTTGTTTTCATGTGCTTTACATGTCTTAGAAAATAATTTCAAGTTTTCTCTTATGCCATACAATCGGCCAAATGTGGTATATATTTTATTTTGAGAAAAGATAAAGTGTTACAAACATTGCATAACATGGTTAGTGTTTGTGAGAAATCAATTAAAAGGGATTTTTATTGTTGTTTTCTCAGGTGTTATTCAAATGTAGAAACTTATAATTCCTCTGTTTTTTATGTGAACCAAAACTACGATAAATAATAGAAAATGTTTTGTTTCTGTTAAACAAAATGTGATTTTTATTCTCAGAATTCAATACCAAAAGCTGGCCATAAAATCAATGTTTTGCTTTAACTCACATTTTCCTAGAATTCTGAGCTTCTTTTCAGTAAATTTTATTTAATTATTTAAAAAAGTTATTAAATAATGAGAAAAATTGGAATAATTTCATTTTATAAATCCATTTTATATATTTTATTGAAGTTTTATATGAATTAATTGTTAGATAACAATATATAACTAAATAACTATTTTTAAATTTAAACAATATATTTCAAAAAGAAATCAAAATATACAGTAAATTGAAGAATCGTACGAATGTTTTTTCGAAAATATATCTTTTAATTTTTGGGAAATGTTGAGCAAAAAGGAGTATAAAAATAGTTGATATGATCTCATTCTGGTATGATTTATATGCTGTCTTCTTTAACCCCATATTTTTATATATATTGTATGAGATGTTAGTATACTTTCGTTTTCGTTCAACAAATTGAACATCTTTTTTGTCATTGAAGTACACTATTTATCAATATATGTAATCTCTAGTCGTGTTTTTTATTAATTTAATTATCAACCCTTATATCACAGTTTTACAGTTGAGTTTAATACTTGTTAAAATCAATATAGGTTTTACATTGAATTTCAGTTAATTATCAACTTATAGATGGATTACTTGTAGTTTTATAAGTAAAAGTAAATTCTGATAACTTAATGCTCTTAAAAAGAATTTACATTTACTATTGTTATACATTATGTATACAACAAAGAGTTTAAATCTAAATTACATCCGAAATAATTTAATACAAAAAACTCTTTTGTTTATAAATATATAATACACTAAAATATTATACAGTATAATACATTTATGGAACCATCCAGATTATGGTAAATAGAATTATTAGTTAGATAATATTATTGTAAACTTGCTAAACTAAAACAACATATTATCAAATTCTAAACAATACATTAATAAAAAGTTTCAAATAACAAAGGTTTCCTAACATTGAGGTTAATTAAAAATATTCTAACTTGGTAAATAGAATATGTGTTATATTGTAATTATAAACATAATATACCAGATATTTCAATATATTTTAAATATGATCCACGAATTTAATGGATTATTTTTAATAAAAAAATGTTTTGTTGATAATCAATACATGCATTAAATATTTGGGAACATATTTAAAGGTTATTTTATTGAAGGATTTTATATGCATTAAGTTTGTATAAAAACCAGATTAAAAGCATTGTTTTTACTCTTTTAGCTATAATTTGTTATTATTAATATTTAAAAAATATATTAAACTAAACTGTTTATTAGCATTGCTTTTAAATGTTGTATTAAGTGATGTTAAAAACAATAAGTGCTAAAAGATTTTTCGTGATTTGTTCCCAATTGTAATACTGTTTTAGTGCCATATTATTGACTTGTTTTGAAGAAACAAACACTTGTTTTATAAATAAAAAATACTTAAGAAATTAATTCATATGTGTGTTTATGATATATAATTGTAACCCTAATTACATCAACACTCCATGAAAAGTTAGTTATTCATTGAGAATAATAACTCCCACACAAACATACAGTGCATTATATTTATACGCACAGAATATATGTGAACAGAATATATATCTCATATATAGTGTACGTATATAAGTGAATGGGAATGGATGGCACTGCGAGTGTGCGATTGGCAACCCTTGTGTTTGCGATGTGAACGGCGGGTGCGGTAGAGCGCAAGTCGGCCCAACTTTTGCTAAATAGTTGGGACTCAGAATTTTTATCGCTTATTATATCTGCTTTATATCAAAAGTAAAAGTTGCTTCACTTATACACTATTTCTCAGTATTTTCTTTCATTTCTTTCTCGCTTTTATATACAATTATTGTCAGCACAAAGAATCGTATTAATAAATACCATACAGTCGTATCATTTGGACATCATTTTTATCCATTTCTCTTATTCTCTACGCTTTTAAATTGTTTAATACATTGTATTTTATTTATATATTTACGTCTAATAAAAATACTAATACTTTTGGCGGAGTTCTCATAGGATTCTCGGTATCATTCAAGTGTCGGAATGAAAAAGTTGTTTTCGTGTTCATTAAATGTGATGTAAATATTGCATAATTTGTCTGTTGAGAGACACAAAGTAATATACATTCATAAAAATCAATTGTGTGACAGTTTTTGCGCAGAGATTTGCATTGAATTTAAGCCAAATTGTAATAAATATAAATACAGTGCGAATGTGGGCCACGAAAACATTTTGAATTACTTTCCATTTGGAAAAAGTGAAAAAACTCTTTATAAATATATTAATACCGTTGATGTAGGAGAAAAAGAGATGTGAAAATGAAGTAAAAATATATAATCCCTTTAAATAATTACAACATTTTTCTGGCAACGCATCAAAACGTCGATATGTTTTCCCCGTTTATTGTCTTAATTATTAATTACATTTAATTGAAAACAAATTATTTTTGGAGTGAAATAAACACATATTGAAGACGACCTAAGGATGAATGAGACGGAAACGTATCGAAACCTTCAATACATCGAAACAATATTAGGACCGCAGAGATCACTGTCTCTTTCGTGGTTAATACCGCTGACAGTCGTTTACATTATTATATTAATAATCGGAGTTCTGGGAAATGTCATCACAATTCTTGTTATCCTTCGGTTCCGATATATGCAGACAATAACTAATTTATATTTATGTAATCTCGCCATCACTGACTTAATTACGTTAGTTTGTGGTAAGTTTTATCAGTAGATTAATTAAATTATTATTTTTTACTAATTATGTGAATAAATAATATTTTATTATCCAAATATCAAAATGCAACTCATTTTTCGTTTACATTGAGTGACGTTTTGTTTTATTTCCTTACATAATAAAGCGATTCCGTAAAAGTTTTTAATTAGATTTATTTAATTTCAAGGTTTTAGTTATAAATGTATGGAAAACAACAAATTTAAAAGATTTCTTGTCTTTTTGTTAACTAATGAGTTAAGAGAAGAGTTTGTATTAGAAAAGTGTTTTATATAAACATTTGTAAGTGAATCCAATGACAGTATCGCTTCTCATGCCTATCATTAACTTAATCTAAACTAACAATACTTTGTGTGTAACTGTTATAACGGTATTGATGTAAAATCTAGAGAGTATTGGTCTAAATCACACCATTTATCACATTAGATGCATAAAACAAATGTATTTTAGATCAACAAAATAGATTCCTGCGGAGGAATTGTCGCAATACATGTCTTTTCTTATGTGCCTAAAAGCCATCTCTCTCTCTCTCTCTCTCTCTCTCTCTCTCTCTCTCAGATGGCTAATTCACTTACAATCTCCACTCTTTGCATCTTATGCTCAATACATCTGATTTGTGCCTCTTTTTCGCGACGAACTAAAAACAATTCTCGTCTCTCTTTCCTGAGTTGTGTTCTCTCCTCTTCCGCCTTCTCATCCAATTTCTTCTCAATTTCAACCCTTTTCTGCGATTGCTATCAAATCCATACAAATGGTTATCATTTGTCTCAACAATCATTACAAAGCACTGCATCACAAACCGTGTCCTTTCTGGTGGACTCTTCGTTCTGAAACTTCTGAAGAGTTCCCAAAATCATACCAAACATCCGCTTATTTCGGGCCAAACTTTTCTTGTCGTTCTTCTGCTCCTCTAAAGCCTGCGTTCGAGGCTTTACTTCACGAGTGGTCGCAATCACTGATGACTGAATGGTTGGTTTGCGGACCGGCTCTTCGTAATCATCATAACTCATATCTCTTTGTTCTCCGCGTATACTATAATTAATATATTCATTAATAACGTATGCATTAATTGGAGAATCAATGATCGCAATACCGGCCGAAAGCGCTGCCAATGAACCGTCTCTTCCTCTGCGGTTCGTCCGACTGGTCGTCAGTCTGTGAGACGTGAGCCGAGAATGTGTTCCCGAAAGGACCGGTCACTCGATTGCGGCCGCCATTTGTCTGTCCCTTCACTCCTTTGGCCAAACTATTGACAACAAATTAATACATATATAAACGCATCCATTGATGGCATCGATCGGATCCATACGTCCCAAGAGAAGGCCACTAGAAAAACTACCTCAGCAGCTGCAGAAAGTCTGAGAAGAAGCGGAGGTTCTTGAGTCAGAGGTTTACAGGCTTTTCCAATTTGTGAAAGCGACAGTAACGAAACACACAGCTATAAGTGAGCGATTGTTTTGATCGCAAACTTTGAGTGCAATTAATTAAATGACAATTAAATGCAACCAAACGTTGATTTGAATCACTTCTCAATGAAATCAATTGTTTTTGTTTCACTCGTTTATCGCAGTTTCGGTCAATATATTAATTCATTGTCATTACAAAGCGTTACGTTTTTATACATAATAATAGAGCCCTTATATCAGGCAATCATTGGATTTACATTTAAACAAATGCCACTCTTATTAGACCCGACGGTAACGTTATATATGAACGCTATCTTCACTCACAAGTCATAAATAACGTGACATAAAAAATAAAGTTTATAATGAGATCTCATTTATGAATCTATTTGCGCCGTAATTGACGTCCAAAAGGAGTGCATTGAGTGTGAAATTGGGATAAGTTTTGGTAAATATTTGATACGTTTATTGAAATGACATTTAAAGGCATTTAAAGGTATCGTTGAATACAAAACGCCTTACAATTGGAGACTTGTGTTGAAAAGTAAGTGACAATCAAAACAAACACTCGTTTTCGCACTAAACGTGTGATTGAGATGACTATTGGACACAATTGAGGGTCAGTTGTGGCAGTTGTGGGACAATGAGTGGCAGTTGTGGTGAATTAGGTCTTCGGATAGCGTTGTGTGATGTGATCGAAAGGCTGAAGAGATGCGAACAGAAGTGCTCTTATTTGGAGGAATGCAGACACGAACTCATCAAAGAAGTGATGCGATTGAAGACACATAACCACACACTCCTGGCCACAGCCAACGCTTCCAATCCGACCCATCATATGATCGCCGATTCAGCCAATCATTTGCCAAACAATCAAATCAATTGCTTTCATAACAATTTATTATTATTATTATTAACATTATTAGTACACTACTAACCAAGTCAGTTACCTGAGCTACAGCTGTTATTCTGACGCTTCTTCTTATCGCTTATGCTCAACAAACCTAGGCTAACACTGTTAGCCCACGAGAGTTGGCAACAAATCACTGTCCGATTACTGCAAGGCATGAGACGGGATGTGGCGGCCAACGGACTCAATGGCGTGACCTCTGGAGTGGTGGCCGCATATGATGGACACGAACTCAATGCAGATCTTATGGATAATATAATTTCAGATGATATACAAATCAATACAAATAACGACACAATTATCTCAATCAATGATTCAATGACTCAAATGAATGATAATTTAATTGAAAGCAAAGCCTATTCAACGAGTAGTCGACAGAAACAGGCGTTGATTGTGAATGAGGTGACAAATGAAGACATTTTGGGTCCATTCAATGAATTCAATATAAAGAGTCCTTTTTTGATTGGATTAACTGATAATAAAATAAGAAACAAATTGTTAAGTAATACTAATAATACTAATAGTGATAATAATAGACGAGAAAGTGGTGCACAAGTGGCAGAGAATCGGGATTTGGAGTTAAGTGGCAAATATTCAACACTACACGAAGGTTTGGATCAATTGGTGACCAACAGTGAGAGCGTCACCGCATTTCGTGAAGCAATGTCTTCAGTAAAAGAAGATTTGAATGAAGTATTGATGGCATTGACGACACAAAACGAGAAACTCAATCGACTTAAAGCCAAACAATTGCGAAATTTCTTCAACAGACAAATCAATTTGGATCAGAATATACACCAATCATCGGCCGCTTCGTCCAAACGGCCGCAAAACTAATAGTTATCTATTGTTTAGTTTTGCACTCAATTCCTTATACAATACGCTTACCGTTAATTGTATTTTTAAATCAACTTTTATAACAATATTGATTGTATTTTTCTATTAATTGTATTATTTATTTTTAATTTTATTTTAATTAACTAATTATGTGAATAGAAATTATATGTTTATATTAACAATTTGTAATCATGAAAAATATTTATTAAATTATAAGTTTTATAAGCGATATATAAAATCATTG